TCAAATACAGAAATTTCAAATCAAATCAAATTCAAATTGACAAAATATTTGATTCGATTTGACTTTGAGGAACCCTACTATCTCTAAACTTAGTATCTCTTACTGTATTTAATTTGAACTCCCAACTCTAGCAGTAAAATTATTGTTCAAGATATTACAGCTTTAAGTATAGTTACACAAAATTGTTAGGTTGGATATCATTCCAGAACATTAAATTATAATTTATGCTTTCTCCAGAAATATATTTTTATTTTGCTAGATTATGTTGACTCTATTATTAAATTACTACACAGAAAGTGATTTAGTATGTAAATTTTATTTGTTTTTTTTAAAAAATTTGGTTGATTCAGGGCAGGGCGATAATTTTCTACTGTGGTTAAGGTTAAATTCTGTGATTTAATGTGATTCTTGACAATTCTGTGCAGTTCTATAGTGTCATTGTGATTTATAGGATTATTTATTCGTCAAAATTTTTCTAACCTATATAATTCCACAATTCTCCGATGAATTTACGTTGATTTATTGTCCACCTACTTGTGATTTCCCAGATCCTGGCCTAAATTTTTAAAATTCTGTGGTATGGCTCAGGGATGATGATTTTCTGTTTTGGTTAAGACCAAATTCTGTTTTCAGTTAAGAAAAATTCTGTGATGTCATGTACTGTTTTTTTAATGTATTCTGTGAAATTCTGTGATGAAGCATAATTCTGTGATTTGATGTGATAAAAAATACAAACATGCAAAGTTCCCAAAATTCTAAAATTCCGTAACTTCCTGGCAAACATGTTCATAATTTACATTTTCGGGATTTCCCAGTGTCAAATCTGAATTTATGGTCAAACCCTGCGATATTATAGAATTCTGTGATATTCTGTGCTACTTTTTTGGATTTTTGTAGCATTCTGCAATGACCAAGATGATTTCTGTAGTTAGCTATTTTTAAGGCAAATTTTCTGTGATCGCAGTAAATCATCGTCTTTGGTATGGCTTGATTCAGGGCGTCAAAACTCACATGACCTACAATTCCTATTTTGATCATCAATAAAATACGTAGCTCATTTTTTTTTGTATTGTTAAAACAGACTTCAATAGCATAGTTTTTATAATTTTTGTTTTTATATAACCTTTTTATTTTTTGTACTTATTCCAAGACACACTTTCAAAAAGACCCAAGGTGTTATTATAGGTTAGTAATTTTCGCTTTACAACATGGGAATCTAATGAGTCAGCATAGTGTGCACACAGAAGACAACAAATACAACAGATGGCAAGAACAACAAAGATGACGAAGACAACAAATACGACAAGGACAGCAAATATGGCAGGACAACAACTACAACAACAACAAAGTATTAGAAGAAGAATAGAGAATAGATATGTATACACCTTGCTGTGAGAGGTTAATTTTAATATAAGAGGTGGATTTTAAGGTCTGCTAGTTCCGTTCCAGTAAAGAGGAATTAGCTATGCACCTTTTTTAGAAAATGATATGCTCTTGTAAATTAATTTTCATACTCACAGGTATAACTATCATAATACAGATACGACCTAAAGTTAACGATCCTCGGTACAGAAGTGAACTAAGCTTTAATGCTAATTATAAGTTGGTAATTTTCACTTTACTAACGAGAATCGCATATGTGTGCGCATGATGCAAGATGACAACAGGTAAAAACCACAAGATAACAAGCACCACAGGAACAGCAAATATGGCAAGACAACAAATACGACAATTAGAAGAGGAATGTGGAATGGATATATGTACACCTTGCTGTGGGGTTAATTTTAATATAAGAGGTAGATTCTAAGGTCTGCTAATTCCGTTCTGGTAAAGAGGAATTAGCTATGCACCTTTTTTAGAAAATGATATGCTCTTGAATTAATTTTATACTCATGGACTGTAACTATCTATCATAATACAGATACAACCTTTCTCGGTATAGAAGCAAAAAATGTCTCATCCCTAACGATTTTTAATAATAATTGAATATCTGGTGGATACCATTTTAAAATTCTTTTCACTTTCACAATCTTCATTTGTTTCATTATTCATTGTTAGGGAGCAACAATTTCATATTCGGGTTTAGTTTTTTTGGTCTTTTCAGTTTCGGGTGCTTAGGTTTTTAAAACTTCGTACAGTAATTTGTAATTATTTCAGTACAAATACTAGGGCCTTGGGAATCTGAGTACCATTAAGATTATCACTAAATCTTTTATTACTATTTTCTAATTTATTCTGAAGTATTGCAAGAGGCATTTTGCATCTTTATTTCAGTATACACACATTCAGGCACCTACTAACTATATGATCTTTTCCATTACAATAGGTGCATGAATTTTTTCTTCGAGTGCTTCTTCTGATTGATTTATCGTTTCGAAATTTCATGATGCTTGCTGGGGTTGGACACTTTTGTTCGAGTTTCTATTTGTTTTAGTTTTTGGGTAGATTTTTTTTTTTTGATTAAGGTTTTCAACACAGTGCGAGTTCGGTTTATGTTAAGTAAGAATTAGAAAGGTAAAAGATTTTTATTTCGCTTAGAAATTGCAATTTGAATCTATGCATTATCCTTATGACTCTTTTCGTCACACTCTAATTACAGTTAAGTTATGTAATAAGGAATTTATCTAATTTTGTTACTTTTTTCTCTGAGTACTTTTTACAATTAACATTTCCACCACTATTCAAACCTTCCTTAAGCATTAGGGCTGTTCTTTTATTTATCTTTAGCCTTCAAGTTAAATTTAATTCTCTTCTCACTACTTTTTTCTACGAATGTTTAAAATTTCGCATTTGTGTTATAGCCACAGAATATTCTACTGTTGTTCGCTTAAGCCTCTTATGTAAATGAATAAACATTCTACAATGTTTCAAATCTATGGAATCTTACTATACCTTAATTTTGAATATTTCACTTTTAACCTGTGACAATATCAATATAAGCTTTTACACAGAATTTAAGGGCTTTATTATCATTTGGCACAATTTCCAATAATCTGTTTAAACCTGTAAACGACTTTCATAGTGGTCCAACCCAGGGACCTGTAAAAATTTGGATATCAAATTACAGATCTTTATTTGGATATCAGCAAATATTTGAATAAATTTGGATAAAAATTTTTTAATGTTTAAAATTGCAAAAAAAATTTTTTTATTAAAATTTATTATGCATTGATTGAAATACAATATATTTTCACTTAAATTCTGTCTATCGTCTTCTAAAAGATTATTGTAAACAGAAAAGCCTCTCTCAACTGCACATGACAAAATAATTTTTGTCATGACTGATATTGAAATTTGAAATTTTAGGTGCATTTTTTTAGGTTAAATTAGAATTCATATTAGAGTTATTAATAAAAGTATATATGGACTTTAGTAGGTTTAGTAAACCTAAGAGACGTTCAAAAAAAAGCTATCGAAAGATCAACTATTATTTTTATTGGTCGGATCACATGTATAAAGACCTATTTTTATTGGTCAGATCATGTGTAACCCCAAAAAATCAGCAAAAATTTGGAAAAATTTGCGTTAAATGCAAAATTTTGGAAATTTTGGGATTAAGTCAAAAATTTGGAAAATTTTGGAAAATTTATTTCCAAAATTTTACGGGTCCCTGGTCCAACCTAATATAAGTTATCCATGAAGTTCGAGAATTTCGGTTATTTCCAATGATCTATTTTTGTGTTATTCGGCTCAATTTCCATATCTTATTTAAATCCGCAAGCGACTCTTCATTGTGATCTAAGTTTTCTCACGAAGTTCGAGAGTTTTCGTGTTATTTAGTCTATTTCTAATATCTTATTTAAATCTTTATTAACATTTACATGAAGTTTGAGAGCTTCTGTACCATTGGCCGGTGTTGCCAGACGGTTAGAAAAAAGCTTTCAGAAAAATTTCTTGTCAGAGAAACAGGAATACAGAGAAGAGTTTGTTAGTAATAAAGATTGTTGATAAATTTCTTGCAGAAATGTTGTCAAGAAATAGTCATATTGGCAAAAAATTATTCAGTAAAATTTTCTATTGGTGAAATAGACTGTTATGAATATATCTTGTTGGGAAAGAGATATTGATTATAGGTCAGGAAAATAGTATTTTGGAAAAATAGATTGAAATCAATGCATAATTTATTGTCGCGGCTGATGCTGAAATTTTAACCTATTTTATTATGAAATTATAAAAATATAAAAATATTTGCTTGGTTTCTATTGACTCAACCCAAATAATATGATTAAAAATGGATTTAATTTTAAACCACTACTGTTTTTGAGGCTGACTTAATAAAAAAAAGTATTAATATATCGGTCTTGTTAGCGACTGGGACGGCTAAACCGGACTGATCCATCTCCACTGATCAGACCATCAGAACTATCACTACTTTTTTATATTTACCAAGATTACAAAGTTTTCTGCATATTGAAATAGAATTTAATAATGCATCTGACAAACCAAATTTATAAATTACAATATTTTCTTAAACATCAGAAAAAACAAATAAAGCAAAAAGATAACTGCTTTTCTTTTCTTAAGAACAGAGAATCAAATTGGTCTGGCCTAATGGGCGCTAGAAATTCTATTTGTTATTATATGCCATTTAAAAAATTTTTTTATAAAATTAAAAATATCGAGGAAAGCTAAATTTCAAATCTATAATTAAATATAACTTTCGAATTTAGCAACAACTTAATGTTTCAGTGACCAGTTATGAATTTTATCAATTTTCATTTTCGTAATTATACAGTATTAAATTAGGGCTTGGACAGTATATATACTAAATCAATTATGGTAATTCGTTAGATAATCAGCATTCTTATATTTTCAAAAATTTGAAATAATGTCAAGAAAAACTTACATCTCGATAAAGTTTTTCATACTTCATTCGCACAAAACATTTCATTTTAGTTACTTTATCCTCCAACCATAATTTCCACAATAAATGATTACGTGGAATGATTTCTGAAAGATGTTCTCTAACGATTTTCCAACCAACACCAGAATAGTGAAGGTTTAATGCACGAATTAAACGATATATATGACATAAAATTAAAGTATGATAAAGCAATGTGTAAACCTGAAATAGAAGAGTTAGTTAACAAGAAAGGTTGATGATTTGTTGTAAAATTTCATGAACTAACCTCAACCAAATCCTTTGCTTCTGTGCAATTATCTTTTAATACGTTGGCACGCAGCCCTGTGCTCGCGAACAGAGTATCCTGATGGTGTTTTATACCGCCGAAGTCCCGAACCACAAAGCCAATAAGTTGTCCGCTAGAAGGATCAAAACGAGCAAGAACATTTTGTGCATGCTTATATATATAAAAAGAATTTTTTCGATTATTTCATGTTTAATGATTTTTAGTTTTAATAAAATTAGAACTAAGAAAACAGATATTCCGTACTGCCTCAAAGGAAAAACCATTATGTAAAGCGGGTGGCAAAAATGCACTGAATAAAAGCCAAGAATATCTGTAATTACAATTAATCAATAATGTAAACTTAAAAATAGATGTAATAGCAACAATATGATTAGTTAATACAGTATTAGTGTATATTTACCTTCTTAAAAATTTAACACGTTTCTCTTCTGTATCTAGTCTCCAAACTTTTTCTACAACACTGATACCATTCTCATCTCTTTCAGTTAATGCAGCACAAATTATCACTTTTTCATTTGGATCATTAAAATCTTCACGTATTATGCAGCTTAGATGTTTTGCTATATCATAATTCTGTTCATTAATGGTTGCAGTAGCGACACCATTCGAAATTTTAAGTATCTCTTTGTTAACGCATAGCTTTTTGAAAATTGGCATAAATTCTGGTCCAGTATGTGTAGTCCATGGCGTAATGGTACGCAACGCTGAAGTCACCAATATTCCTAAGGAAAGTTTAAATGCAAATCCAGGAATATCTGGAACCACGAGAGTTCGAAGTGAAGCTTGACTATATGCTTCGATTGAATGCTCGACTGGAAGAATCTTGACATAGGGAAATTTTTCTTTTATATTTGGTAATTGAAGTTCGTGAACCGGGAATAGAACTGAATTTGGTGAACAAGTTGGCTTTTGCTTCATTACATCTAGAAGACGGTTAAGGTTTTCCTCCCAACGACCGCATAAATATGTTTTATCACGTGGTACTTCGACGAATCGTATTGTGGGTTTTCGAAAGTCGTAAGTACCAGGCAATATTTCCGGAATTGGAGGTAAGGCAAATCGTGATTTATGCATCTTTCAGATATCATATGAATGAATTTTAATATAAATAAAATTATAAATTAATATTTTATAATATTTTACAATATTTTATATTAACGTAAATTACCGGATGTAATGAATGGCCTTCTATCAAACTTTGTTCCCATTCTACACTCGAAGAAAGCAAGGAAGGCATTGGCTGTGGGTTTTTATATGTATACTCTATCAAGAGTAATTATAATAATATTAATAATTATATTTGAAAGTTTGATTAATTAATTTTTTATACCTTGAAATTTAACAGAACTTTCTAACTCTGCACATAATGTGCCGATGAGTTTGCCATCATCTAAATTCATCCATACGCTCAATAAACTCATAAATTCAGATGGACTGATCTCTTCTCTTTTATTCATAGGACGAGCTATAATTGATTTCAATTCGTCAAGACTTACAAACTGAAAAGGTTTGTATCTTATTTGATAAATTGGCGCTGACATATCCCAAGGATCTACAAAATCAACTTTTATTAGCGTTGAATCATTATCCTGATCCTTTGAAAAAATTGGTTCATGCAACATGGGAATGATAATAATATTATTATTATTAATAGACATGATTTTATCGTTTTCTGGTAGAACGAAAATAACACCGTTATTTAAGGGAGATTTTGCAAAAGAATTGACCAATTCGGAAGAATCATGTTGAAATGATTGGTAAAAAGCTTTAACAAGGTGCTCATTAATAACACAAGATAAAAGACGAGATATGGTAGCAAAGTTTGCTCTTTGAGTGGGGGATAAAGTCATTTTTCTCGATTATTTTTGCATCGAATAAACCGTTTATTTATAGAAAGATATCAATAATGAATTGGTCATAGTAGAAAATAGTAAATATCAATAACTGGTAGATAATAGGGAGTAGTAATAGAGATAATAGAGATATCAATAACGATAGATAATAGGAAATAATCGTGTACTATTTTAAGATTTATGCATCGCTCCGGAAGTTAAATCTGATAATGCAAAGTATTTAATCTGATAATGTAAATGCTTACCATATTTGAATATTTTCGATCTGATAAATGTCAATTAGATACCATATTTGAATAATTTGATCTGATAATTTATATTACCGAGTAAAACTGTCTTGTATCAATGTTGGTGACTTATCCTTATCGTTATACTGGGCTGAATTAGCATTACTTGTTATATCTATCTCTAGGTTTATCATTGAATTGGAATTCAATCCAAATACAAATATACTTCAATACAATACAACTGGGCTTTATACTATTTCCTGATTACTAATCAAATATGTAATTTATTGATATTGAGTCACAACAATGACCCTTCGAAATCGCATTTGATAGTCGAATAATAACCGTATTCGACGAATATCCAATTTAAAATCTTTAAAAAATCATTCTGTAAATGATTCGATATACTTACACTTGCCGGAGAAACCCGGACCCCAAAAAACAATTGCCATTTATAAAAAAATTGAATCAAACAAATAATCATGAGATTTTGCACATATTATGTATAACTATAAAAATATGCACCATCTGTCTAAATAAAGTTTTTGAGATATTAGTTTGGCTAGAGTTTGGATTCGAGCGTGGACGAATCCAAGTTAATTATACCAAGAACGGAGTAGATATGTAAATATCACGAAATTAATGGGTTTACAGCGTTTTAGTTCACAAAATCTTATACCTTATTGGACGATACATTATGTCTTCATGATGTAACACTATCACAAGGCATATCGACAGATCTGGTTGTTAATTTTACTTCAAAGTTCAAAAAAATCAGCGTGGTGTTCTTACCATATCGGCATATTTGTGGAATTTTGATAAATAGAGCCGTAATTCTGGTTAAATTTGCAGATTATTTGGCCAGCTTTTGAAGTCAAATAATTTCAAACCAGGCCAAATTATCTGCAAATTTGGTCGGAGCTAAAGTTCATGGGTTTTGCTATTTATCAAATTTCACAAATCCGCCGATATGCAAAATGCAACTTCTAATGCTTTCTCTTTCTGATCTAATTAAATTCAAATCTTTCAGCGTAATGGTTTTACTAAATCAGTGTTGGCAAAATATGTCATGGACAATATGGACCATTGTATATGGACATTTATCGTATTATCTATATTTTTCTATTGGACAAAAGGCACTTAGTCCAAATCAAACACGTGAGCTTGCTACTCCGAAATATTCCGGATAGAATAAGCCAAATTAGAGGTTGGAACCGGTTTTATTTTTATTAACCGGTTTTAGTAACTTTTTAAAAATCAAACCCGAATATAAACCGGTTATATTATATCCGGTTAAAACCGGTCAATCGGTTATTTTTAATTGAATCCGATTAACCGGTTATATTTACAGCTGTTTTCATAAATTCTGGGGCACCCTAAAAAAATTTGTCTATTCGGCCGAAGTCGATAAGTTATTGATTTCGGGAATAATAAGATTCAGTAACAGATAATATCAGATGCGTAA